TGGGGGGGGGGTAACGAGGGTGTTGGACGCGTTTTGGGGGCGGTTTGGGGGCCGTTTGGGGGTGTTGGGGGGATGTATTGGGGTATTGGGGGCTGGGGGGGGTGGGGGGGGGGGTGGGGGGGCCGTTTGGGGGTGTTGGGGGGATGTATTGGGGTATTGGGGGCTGCTATGGGGGTGGTGGTGGGGTTATTAGAGGTTCTGGACCCCAAACAAACAAAAAAGATAAAAGAAAAAAAAAGCTGGGTGCCGACGACCCCCGACCCGTAGGTGCCGACCAGCAGGTGCCGACTGGCCAAGGGCCGCCGACCGCCGGGGTATACAACACTGGTTCACAAGCAGAATTGTAAGAGCTGCAGCGGGCAAAGGTACGCCTTTTGGTAATCCAAAAAAAGAGGAGGAGGAAAGGACTTTAAAGGAGTCTATGAGTTCGAGTCCCCCACTATAAGAGCCTATGAGTTTGAATCCCCCACTATAGTAACCAGTGCTAACCACTATAAAAATATAGACAGTGAAATTATGAAAGATAAAGTGTCCGCCGCACTCGGCCCTTAAAAAAAAAGGCAGGAGTGACCGGCAGAGCCAAAATGACTTTGCCCGTCGGCCACTGTAGGAATCATGCCAATAAGATTACCAAAAAAAAAAAAAAAAATAGTAAATTACTTGATATGAAATGGGCAACTACAAAAATAAAAAATAATATAATCCGACTATTGGTACGCCTCTTATTTCTCCATTCATTAAATTCGATTCTCAGAATTTCTGGCCAACTCACATAAAACTGTAAAAACTTAAAAAAAGTTTAAAAAACTTTAAAAACTTAAAAAAAGTTATTTGAACATTTTTTAAGTTTTAAAATTTTAACTTTTAAGTTTAAACCACCTCAGATACAACTCTGGTATTTCAAGCGGGACAAGCACCTTTGTAACTATGGTAATTACTAATTACTAATTATTACTAATGCGAGGATATGGGTCCTCGGCAGGCCTAAGGGCCCCCCTGCAGCATATGTGCCCGCCCTAAGTGAAGGCGGGCCTAACAAATCACGAGAGGCCCTTGGCTGTCAATTTCGCATTTGGGGTCCAGGCAGTTTCGTCACGCCAGTTGGTTGAAGGGAAACACAGGCTGAGCAGCGTGGAAATTCCCAGGCCTTCTAGGCCTTTCCGAAAGCACCGGCCCTGGGCGAAATTCGCAGCCGCATACACAGACAGTTGGGAGGCCCAAACGAATGAGGCCCAGTAGCTGCACCAGAGGCGCAGCATCCTGGGGCCTACCGGAAGCTTCTGGGCCCAGGCCAGTCCACCCAGGCTGCCGAACGAGGCAGGCTCTTTCCATATAGGAAAGAGCTCACTGCCTGGCCAGCCATTCGGGCACTCGCATGCTGGCGGCAGAGCTGCTGGAGCCGAAGCTCGTGGGCTGCTGCTAGCGCTGAGCGGCGAGGTGGAAGCACGTGCGGTCGTGCAGAGAGCAGGGCGCTGCTGAGGGCAGCGCCATAGCCCAGCCTCCATAGCTGGCGGGCTTGGATGTACAGTGAGGCGCAGGGGTGATCTTCGGGTGTACAACAAAGGAAGACGTGGGAGAGAGTCAAGGGAGAGAGAAGGATGATGATGATGATGATTATGATGTGAGGGCACATACCTGGTATTGGCGATGGTTCTGCATGGGCGACATCTTCAAGTACTTCGGGTGCTGCTGACGTCAACAGTTGCATTGTCAATTAGTAGGCTAGTAGTAGCTGTGTAGGGAGTGGGCTGGGCGCCGAGCGCCAAGTAGGGAGATAGAGACTGGATACATATGTCGGTGGTGGCGAGAGCAAGCTCTCATTGACATTGACTTTCAGTGCTACTATTCTCCATTGGTGTTATATCGGTGCAATGCTGCTTTCTGAACACTGTGATACGATTTGGCTTTCAATGTGATTGTGCAATCTGAATATTGTCATCTCGCTTCTGTTCATTTTCCTTGCACTAATTACTAATTACTAATTCACCTGCGTCATTAATTAAAAAGTTAATAAAACCTTGAGACTTTTGCTATTTTTATTCGGTACGCCTCATCATTATGGCACGGGCCTAGCTCAATTGGTACACAAATGAACTGCTGAACGACAGACCTGAGTTCGAATCGTGAGGGACCTTGATGAATCAGATGTGAAGAAAAGAAAAAGGAAAAAAAAGCCAATATGCCAATATTCCACAACAGAACCTTCTAACTGTGGCCATTCCACTGAACGCCCTTGTCTACGGTGGGGGGTAATTCAGCCCTGCCAAGAACCTCGAAGCCCCCTGATGGTGCAGAGATATAGCTATGGCTTATTTCAGATGGGGGGAGGGGAGTCCAATTAGTGGCAGCTGCGTTGTTCTTCAGTCGTTTTTGTGGTCATTGCTATTGTCACCGCACCTGAATGGTCACAAGAGCTTTGAAGTTGTTCTTGCTACGCCAAAGGTAGGCCACGTTAGCGGAGCTGAGCTACCTTAGCCGAGCTAAGCTGCATTAGCCAAGCTAAGCTACATAAGCTAAGCTACATAAGCCAAGCTAAGCTATACATTAGTCGAGCTATGTTATGCTACGCTAAGGTATGCTAAGAAGGAGCTAAGCTACATTGACCGAGCTAAGCTACATTAGCCGAGCTAAGCTATACATTAGTCAAGCTATGTTATGCTATGCTAAGGTATGCCAAGGACTAGCAAGGAGCTAAGCTGGCCTCAGCCGGGCTGAGCTATACATTAGCCGAGCTCTGTTATGTTATCCTAAGGTATGCTAAGAAGGAGGAGAGTGGCGAGGCACCTACCTGGCTATGGTGGACACCATCTTCATCACCTTGTTGGGCGCTGCATCTGGAAGGCCCCAGTTGGGGTAGTGCTGCACCAAGAAGCTCGAGGCAGAGTCAGGCATGGCGGCTTAGTCAGCAGCGGCATAGCTGCTTTGGGTTGTCCTTTGGACAGGAGTGCAGCGCCATAGCTGCTTTGTGTTGTCCTGTGCACAGAGAGGGGCAGAGCCCTCAGTTGTCCGCCATAGCCTAGGCTTGTGAGAAGTGGAAGAAGGGGGAAAGCCATAGCTATGGTGGACCTGTTGTGGTTGTTGTTGCATCAGCAGTAAGAGGGAAGTTCGGATATTGATTCTGGTTCACCCACTTATTGTTATTATTATTATTGGGAAGAAGAATAAGATTGGAGAAGTTAAGGAGGAGGAGGAAGGTGGAGAGAGAAGGGGGATTTGTCATTGGTCTTGCTGGTGTACATCTACTACTACTTCTTCTTCTTCTTCTTTCTCTCTTCTCTGGTCTCTATCTCTTTGCAAGTGCTTTCATTTCTTTCGCAATTGGGTGGCATTGTCTTTCATTGTGAATTTGCACTTTGGGAATGACCAGGATCGTAACACTAAGAACAATGACAGAGTTCTGCTGAGCGGGTACGGAATCCTGGCGTCAACAACGTTCACCTCAAGAAACATAGACGAAACACAATAGCCCTGGTTAGACTATATCCACATTAAGCTATACGTTAGCGAAGCTAAGCTATGCAGAGGTGCAAACACTTGATGGTGGCAGATTTGGAATGGGACCGCCGTGGCTGCAAAAAAAAAAAGAAAGGCCATACCATGGCCCATTCGTGGGATATTGGAGTTTTACTGTTTTTGTTGGTGTGGGTGGATTGTGGGGGGGGCGGGGGGGGGGGGGGGGGGGGTGATTGACAGAAATGAGCCACTGTTGGACTGAAAAATATGCTGCAGCAAACACTACCATGTCAAGCGAGAGGAAGGGTGGAGTGGTATAGGAAGGGTAGAGCAGGCAGGTGGTTCTCTGATGGCGTGTTTCCGATATCCAGGAGTTGACGAGGTGATGGAAGTTAAAGAACCCAGGAAGCAAGGACACTTGGCCATTTTCGCACGCCAAGAGACATGCGGGATTTTCAGAGACATTGAGCATGCATTTCTTGCAATACTATCTGCGTATGGATTCTGGAAACATACATACCATGTATCCAGTCACTGGGGCCTCTGGGGGAGCAATCCTCAGGCCTTGACTCAGAATACCCACATAATTTGTTGTCCGAGAACCTGATCACAGAGAACACAGAAATTTCTCTTAGTCAGCCCTCTCACCCAATTCACTGTGAAAAGTGTAAAAGGCACCTCACCCATGCAGTGTGCTTTCGACCAACATCTCAGAATGCTTTCAAGACTATTCTCCATTTAATTCAACAGTTTTTTTTTTTTTTTTTTTTTTAAATTCAACAGGTTTTTTTTTTTTTTTTTTTTTAATTCAACAGTTTCATTCTCCGTTCACTGCGTTCAGTGAAACTTCGAGGAGCCGCACACACTCTAAAGCGCACCCACACCATCCATCCAAAATGAACAGGCAGAGGCCTTTGAAAGAGAGGCAGTGAAACCGAACAGGCCAAGGCTCTTTCGTCGATCGAGCATACCATGCCACAGAAGCATCTTGTTGTGAAGCTCATCTCTAAATGGCGCGTACTTGTCGCCTTCGCCCTCTCTGTCCACTCTAAAGACATCCAACAGCTCAAGACCCCACTCCTGCAACAACAGATGTCCCGTCCACACAGAACAAAACGGCATGAGAACGGCGAGCGGCAAACGGCGAGTAATGAACGAACGGAAGCAGATGGAAAATGACGGGGCCAATGATTCTATCTTTGCGTTCCCACTCCTGCAACAACAGATCCCCAGTCCACACACAACGAAAAGATGTCAGAATGGCAACTGGCCAACGGCCATTGACAAACAAACGGATGGCAATCGAAAATGGCTAGCGGTTGATGATTCCATCTTCGTGATCGATGAACCGTCGTCAATCTCCGATCTCGTGGCGGAGGATTGACGACTGAATGGCAATTGAAAACAAGAACTCGCGAACTATCTTCAATCGCATGACCGAATGGCAATTGAAAACAACAACTCGCGAACTATCTTCAATCGCATGACGTACGATCTTCACCCTCGTTGAATTAACGTTCAAAGTTCAAACTTCAATCCAATCGACACGACAGACAATTGACTAAAGACCGGCGCAATGGAAAACAACAATCGACTTCAACAGTCTTCGATCTCATGGCACCCTTTACAGTCCCTGACGTTAGTGAAATGTTGTGGTGGAGCACGCAGAAGCGGAACGGACGCCTTTGTGGGCCTGTGCTACCCTTCTTGGTGATGCTCTGCCTCTTTTCGAATCGAATACCGTCCAGACGCCTGGAGAACCCCGAGCAGGTGAGAACTCCAAGGCTCCCCCCGCCCCCCCCCCTCGCCGGTGGGGCTTTTCCCCAACTCCACTGAAAACAGCACAGATCTGGTGCACAGATCCAGGCTCTGTTTTGTTCTGCAGAGTTGTCGTTCTCTGCTCATCCTCTTCTCACTCCTCAACGGACAACATCAGTTTTTTTTTTGTTTGTTTTGCGGCGAAATTTGCGCAGAGGTTCCCTTCGCCTTCTGCAGCCTGCTGCTTGGGATTAGTAATATGAGTCTGTACACAGAAGTGATAAGCATCGTCAGCGGCATGCAGCGATCACAAAAGGATATTGTAGGTAGTATTCTTCAATGCAATCGGCCAAGACTGGCCCCGTCTTGGTCCGGATGGCTCTAGCATCCACAAATCCCGTGAGATTATCTCTTGCATCAAAGATATAATACTTATACCCATCGACACTTGTATCCACGTGTGCTGTCCGCGTGTCTATTGTGCGGAAGTGTTTGTGCCGAGTCCGATTGGCTGCTTGTCAGTAACACTGCTCGTCAGGATCCGTCAGTGAGGAGAACCTGATGGCACTGAATGTGGTCGTAATTGCGGCCAGAAGCATTGCACAAAACTCCAAAAGAGAAAGTATACCCTTAGTTGTTGTATTCGTCGATTTCGCTGCAGATCAGTCAATTGGCCTGAATTGGCGCCAGAGAAGTGACCCTCATCGGTTGCCTCAGCAATACAGTGGGGACTTGGGAGAGGTAAAAGATCAGGTGGTGGGTCATGAGGCAGTGATGAAAGAGATTATGTGATGTGTCTTTTTCGACTCTCTTTTTTTTTTTTGAAGGCAAACAATGCACTTAAGAAAAAGCCATACCTTGTGGGTTGGTGCATGCGTGTTCTTCAGGTACTTCTTGATGAGATTGAACTCCCGACCATCTTGCGGCAATGGGACAATCGGGCACTTGAGTTTCTTGTAATTTGTGTCCAGGGCATCTTCACCTTCGTCACCCTCCTCGGAGATGAGCTTCGCCGCAATTTCGATATCCCGCAGCGCCTCCAGCATCATGATCTATTTTTTCGACATGTTAATATTTTCACAGATTGACGGCCACAAAACGATTCGTGCAAAGGCAGACGCATGCGTCAGAAAGATTGCCAACATATGTGCAACTGTGCCCTTTAGATCAGACCAACTCATTGAATTCGCGCAAGACAAATTCGGGAATTCAATCAAGGAAAAACAGTCCAAAACAAAGGCCTTAGACTGTCGTTCCAAGCTGCCTCCACGATGTCTGTTTCAGCCATCAAACTCCGCGCACGATATCTGTTTCAGCCCATCAAACTCCGAGCTCGCACTTCAGGCCTGGCTGCCCTACCATGCTGATGAGGTACGAGCACTGCCCCTGCCCAATCGCCCAAAAAGCAGCAGGACAAATAGGGCCTCGCTCCACTACTCACCAAACGTGCAAAAAATGAGAATGATACTTCTGCTAGACCATGGGGAGATACACCACCATATGTTTTTGTCTTTTGCGGATGTGGAGAGTAGTGAAGCGAGGCCCATACATGGAAGCACTGGACGGAACGCGCCCTAGCGCTGGGAGCTGAACAAGGGGATTGCTACCAGCCAAAAACCTCCGCTATCACGACGCCGTGGAAAGGCTCAGAGTGCCCATCAGAGAAAGGCCAGTGGCACCAGGCAAATCGTTTGCTGCAGCGGTTCGCGTTTCTTTGGACAGGGCAAAAAAAATCCGCATTTCGGAAAATAGGCTGGGAGGCACCGCCGGTTTAGTAAAAACGGGTACTACGGGGCCACTCCTCCTAAACCTGTGTGTTTAGTGTGTGTTGTCATTAATTGCTGCACTCAACCTCTGTGCGTTGTGGATTTCATCACCACAACCCCTGTTCCGCCCAAATAAGCAGATCCAATATCGATGCAGCTCTACCTCTATTGCAGACAACCTGTGTGTGTGTTTTCAAAGAACCCCGAACTCTCACTCTCTCTCTCTCTCTCTCTGTGTGTGTGTGTGTGTGTGTGTGTGTGTGTGTGTGTGTGTGTGTGTGTGTGTGTGTGTGTGTGTGTGTGTGTGTGTGTGTGTGTCATTCCATCCATAAATCATCACAAAACCATCCATAAAACCGAAAAAATATACCTAGGCAATATATCTGTGTGTGTGTGTGTGTTGAATTTTCACCACAACAGCCCCTATTCCACCCAGATGAGCAGATCCAAAATCAATGCATAAATAATTCAATCCTATGGCTGACAACGAAAGCCCTTGAGTTGAGACCACCCAACAATGAAACAGTTTCGCCTCTATAGCAAGCAACATGAAAGGCATGTGAACCCCTTTCTTAAGAGGGGTAGAAAGCAACATGGAGTATAGTAGAGGCATGCGAACCCCCTTCTTAATTGTGTTTACGTTTGCTTGCTCTGGGGTACCCCTTTCATTTGTTCTTGCAGCTCCCCCTTTACCGTGCCTCTCATGCACAAGGCTTGCCACTTCGATTGCCGTTGAGTGCGGGCTGCCCACATCCCCATGTGCCATAACGGCCCGCTTGTACACCATGAAAGGAGGCAGAGCGAAGCCGGAGGCATATTCCTGTTCATTTCTTCTCAGATCGTCAACTTATATTTTGTCTGGTCTCTTAACGATGCTCATTCATATGTATTACTAGTAATCCAGAAGAGGAGGGAGGGAGGAAATGGGAGGTGGAGTTCAAACTGGGCCGTAAGCAGTGACCGCTGGGCCAGACCACTCTAGAATGGCGCATGAGGCCAGTCAGTGTGTGGGTTGCATAAGATTTGAGGAGCAGTTGTTGCCTATACTGGTAAGTGGCACCCTCTACAGACCGGGCAGGACCGGGTTCAAGTGTGGCCTGTGGAAGCACCGCATCCAGTTCTCTCAGTCGCAGTTGCTGCACACGAATGGCTCGGCGTAGACAGATGTCACCGGCTACGTGGGTCCTACATGCTAGGAACACAGAGGCACGTCGACCGCAATTGTAGAGGCATTGCCGTTCCATCCCCCCCGTCTACAAATCGGACATGACATGTCAGGGTGCCGTCCACGAGTGCATTGCCGTTCCAGCCCCCCGTCTACAAATTGTGTGTGCGAGTGTGAGTGTGAGTGTGAGTGTGTGTGTGTTTGTGTGAGTGTGAGTGTGAGTGTGTGTGTGTGTGTGTGTGTGTGTGTGTGTGTGTGTGTGTGTGTGTGTGTGAACAACAAGAACAGTTGTGCAAACAGTTGTGCAGGCCTCTGGCTGCATAGCCGCTTGCCGTCCTTTCATCGGCAAACCGCACCATTTTTCAACATGGGCGCCGAAAACGCCCCCACTTTCTATCAGGATTTGAAATTTTGACCCGTCAACTAGCAGCTACACGTGTGTGTACCATTCAGCCAGATCCACATGGCCTATTTTTCATTCTTTCAGGAGAGTGAGTGCCTTGTCAGGCCCTTGATTTCAAGCCGCCTATCTTGCCTTACCACCCCTAAGACGATTCAGATCAGGCACCAGCGCTCGATGAAAAGTTGAAAAAAAATCATCCTACGCAACTTCACTGAAAACCACAGGTTACAGCCAAACACGATCCAGAACACAAACATTGAGGAGTGCCCAACTTTAAAACCCAGCCACCGAAATTAACATCAAACAGGCCCGCGACCGATGGTAAATAGGAAAAGCAGCATGCCACTCTAAGTGAGTTGCCCCAGCCAGCCAAAGAACGACGGGTAGATGTCCTCTCCACCCCGCTCGTCCTTATTACACTAGTGCCTTCCTTTCTCAGCACCTGCCGCCTACACTACACTTATAACGTTGCGATTGCACCAGAAAGGCGGGAGGTTAAGACGCCTTGTGGTTCCTTTTTTTTTTTTCTTTTTTCTTTTTTCTTTTTTTCTTTTTCTTTCTTCCTTTTTCTTTTTTCCTTTTTCTTTTTTTCTTTTTTTGACCGTTTACCAATTTCTGCATGTCATCCCTTGAAATGTGCAGGGGCCATTTTGCTAATTTTCCCTTCTCTGTATCGCTCCAATTTTAATGGATGTCCCGAAGGACAGACGCGTTGCGGTCCTTACCTTGCCCTTCAAGGCTTCTTCTGTGCTGATTGGAGCTGGCTTGACGGCGGGGATTAGGGTATAAAATCGATTTGAAGCGTCAACAAGCATCCCATCTCGTCGCGGCGCAGTTTGCTCATCAAACCGCATCTGAAGCAAGTTCTGCACCTCTTGAAGCACCGCAAAACCTGGAAAACAAGCAAAATGTCAAACGATGATTTTAGCAGAGGCAAGAAAGGGAAACAAAACAAAAAAAAAAAAAACACAAGCAGGATTGCACCGCAGAAGAAACATCTTCACATCCCTATATTCACCCAAATTATCACCAAAAGGTCAGCCCTAAGTTCACCCAAATTACCACTAAAAGGTCCCTTGATGTTTCTCTTGGGGGTCAACTACGACTCACGCGGCGGGACTACACAATCCAGAATGCCCCCAAGAGGCCCATGGCTAAGACAGGCCCCCACTCAAATGAGTAACAAATGCCTTAACCCAGGGTTAACCCTGGGTTAGCAAAGGGTTAACAAGCAAAGGGTTAGCAAAGGGTTAGCAAAGGGTTAGCAAAGGGTTAGCAAAGGGTTAGCAAGCAAAGGGTTAGCAAAGGTTAGCAAAGGGTTAGCAAAGGGTTAGCAAAGGGTTAGCAAAGAGTTAGCATAGGGTTAACCCTGGGTTAGCAAAGGGTTAGCAAAGGATTAGCAAGCAAAGGCCTAGAAAAGGGTTAGCAAAGGGTTAGCAAAGGGTTAGCAAAGGATAAGGCCCGTCCTGAGAGAAGCAAAGGGTCAGAGAAGCATAAAGGCAAGGTTGGACTCTTTATTGAAGTTTATTCATGGCAGTGATCGGACTCATTTGAGTGATGATGACACCTCTATTCAACACACAAGCTTGGTGTTCAATTTCCAAACAATTTTACACTGAAAAGGTAGTCTATCATTGGCCAGCTGCCTGCATATCGGCGAGGTTGGACCGCCTGGCCCACGGTGTTCTTGACAGAGGCTTGCTCTGCTCATATGGGGACGTTCCAATCCATTTCGACATATTTTGCATGTGAGGGAAGGCACACCACACAGGCACAGATTGAGAGAATGGAGGCAACCTGCTCCTTGTCGTCTACATCTATGCCAATTATGAGGATGCATTTGCCACACATGTGTGTGTTCCTGACAGAGGCATCTTGAAGGTGTGAAGGCACGCACACAGGCGTAGAATGCAGGTGTGAAGGTGCTCACGCATGCGTAGATTGCAGGTGTGAAGGCACGCACACAGGCGCAGATTGAGATTGGAGGCAACCCACCAACTGGCCTAGCTCAGTTGGTAGGTACACCCCTGCACTGTTGAAATACAGACCTGAGCTCGAACTCCACGGGAAGTGGGTGAGTAAAATGCTACAATTTCTGAATTACCTAGGGCCGGTCCGTTCGATGATGACATCTCAAGGCCATCGCCCTTTTTAAAGAAAAGACGAATGGAGGCAGACTCCCCTCTTCTCCTCGTCCTTTTCCTTCTATGCCGATGATACGGACGCATCTGAAACAGAGATGTGCACATGCCCTTCTTACATCCAATACCCCACCGATTCCAAAGTGCTTCGACAACTGTGTGCGATGCTGCGTTATGCGATTGCAAGGCTGGCATTGAGGTCGAGCACAAGCTTATGTTACTACCGTCTTCACCCGAATAAAACACCTGGTCATTATGGCCGCATCTGGAATGAAAATTGTGCCAAATGCAGCTATGATAACCGGACGTGCCATTCCGGTGAAGACGGTAGTGAAGTAAAACAAAGCACAATCTTCTTAGCGGTATTTCACTTTGTTCTCTCCTGTGGGAAGACTGCACAGGGTAGTACGCGTGAAGTTCAGTAACTTCAAAATCAAAAAAAAAAAAAAAGAAGTTACCTGGCACACTGCAATGACTACTCCCATGGCAGACGGTCAGCAATGCTTTTTCAGCTCTAATGGATGGTGCTGCCAGCCATTGCGATCCGATAACACTACCGATCCGACAACCCCGAAAATGTTCCATTTCCCGAGGCTACTAGAGTGACCCGGGACCACTTGCCCGGCCGGGACCAAAAAAAAAAAAAAAACCATATAGATTAGTATATGATATATCGTCAAACAGAGCTGCACGGTAATCTGTAGGCAGAGAGGGAGAAGAGGACAACAAACGAGGGGGCTGTGACAAACTGTTTCGTCGGAGTTTCACCGACACATCAGGAGGCTGAACCCTCAACAGTTCTGCAGAATCCCCTAACTGATTACATTGTAACTTGTAAGTGATAATCCACCTCAACCCCGGTTGTGGTTAAGCATCATCGACTGCCCCACAACTGATACCTTGAGGCGGGCACCAACCACTGCCCTCAAGATACCTGTGCCGAAAATCAAAGCAGACTATCACCCACCCACACCGGATGATGTGACCCTGAGGCAAAAGTTATCCAGTTAGTCCCTCGGGACATCCGTTAAAATCGGAACGATACAGAGAAGATTAGCATGGCCCCTGCGCAAGGATGACACACATAAATCGAGAAATGGTCATATTGTAATGACCCGCCCAAAACACAGACTGAGAACACTGCTGATTTCTGGGATTTGCCAATGGAATGAATGCCTTGCTGTGATTCCCGCATTCTGCTGTGGTCCCAAGTCTGTGTGTGTGCGTGCCTGCTGGTTTGCATGCCTGTCTGAGTGCTTGCCGGATGTGTGTGTGTGCGTGCCTGCTGGGTTGCATGCCTGTCTGAGTGCTTGCTGGTTGGGTATGTGTGTGACCCGCAAGGGTACTTGTTGGTTGCAAGGCCCACCGGGCCGGTACTTACCTGTGGCCGTGACTTTGGAGGGTTGCAGGGGGGTAAACATGCCGGTAGCGGGGAGTAGGTCCACGGCACTTAGAGCAGCTGGGGAAAAACACCAGGTAGGCCGAGCAGAAGAAGACAAAAAGTTGGCATTTTTAGAGGCCCAGTAGCGCTAGGTTAGAGGTAGGCCGGTACCAGTCAAAAGGGAGGAGGTACCGGTTGCTGGGAGGCCGCTTGGCCTAGGAAGTCACCGCCCGGGAGGCCGGTAGGCCACTATATCTTCAGGAAGAGCGGTGAGCTCTTCCTCATTTGCGGTATGCAAGGATTGGCGACATGCTGCTGGAGCGCAAAGCTGGTCTGAGGCAGCGCTGCTTGGAGGTGAAGGTCTGCTGGGGCTCAGCCTGGCTATGGCGAGCRCCCCAGCTTGAAGGAGGAAGAAGGGGGACATGGTAGGAGAGTGGTAGGGCACTTACCTGGCTATGGTGGACACCGTCTTCATCACCTTGTTGGGCGCTGCATCTGGAAGGCCCCGGTTGGGGTAATGCTGCACCAGGGCAGCTAGAGGCAGGGTCAGGCATAGCGGACCGAGTCAAGCAGCGACATACCTGCTTTGGGTTGTCTTTCGGGCATCAGGGCAGCATCATAGCTGCCTTCCAGTAGTCCGCCATGACCTATGCTTGAGAGAGGAGGTTGAAGGAAGGAAGACATAGCCATGGTGGACTTCTTGTTGTTGTTGTTGTTGGGTTGTGAGTTGAGTCAGCAGTAAGGGGGGAACTTCGGACATTGATTCTGGCTCATCCACTCATTGTTATTATTATTAATGACCAGGATCGAAGCAATTGGTATCGGAGCGGACTTACTTGCTGGCGAGAGGTGTTAACCACCCTAACCCTAATTCCGAATTAGGTTAGGGCTGACCTAATCTCGGATTAGGGTTGGGAAGTTAGGGTTAAGTGGGGCAGCGAGGTGTGGGGATGCTGCCCCCACCTGATTAGGTCATGTAGGGTCGACATTGGACCCAACCAGGTTGCTTGAGTGAATGTATGGGGTGGCGAGACACAAAGGAGACTGATTGGAGTAAGCGAGAGGGAGTAGAGAGTGAGAGGTACTCGCACCTGGATTCTGGACTTCAGGAAGACATTGAGTGACTTTTGGGCTTCCCCTCAAGAGGGAGACTTGATCGGAGGCTGCCATATCTGCATYGGATTGCTGCAARTTGCTAYTTTGGTCTTCAGGCATCGACGGGGGATCCGGCTTTGCAATAAGGGTGTAGGAAGGCCCTCTTAGTCATGCTAGGACACTTCGTGTAGTGGTAGCTAGGGGTCAGGWGGACTTRTATGAGAGGGGAGTGACTCGTTATCCATCTTTGGAGGCCGGGCCTCACAGGTAAGTGCCGTGTGACCGGGGAAAGCCCGTGGGAGGTTGCTTGGTGCTTCATGGCCTRTTGRKGGTGTGCTGGGTTCTCTTCCTCTTCTCTGCGGTCTTGGTTGTGTGTGTGAGCTTGTGGATTGCTTTCTCACCTGATGGATGGATGGATGATGTATCKACTCTAAATGACATATCTTTCTACGGTGCATTGTCTTTTCTTTTCTGAACGGCTGTAGAAGTGAGTTCTTGCTGAAAGTTGTCTTTTCCTTTTCAGCACGGAAGAGGCAGTTTGGGACCGACTTGGTACCCCTATCACGTTGGTCCTGGTCCATGGCCTACTTGGGACCACTCGGGACCCAGTGGGACCAGGCCCAACGGGACAGGACCTTTTGGGCCCAAATCTGTTGCCGTCAGTGCATTCTTTGCTGTGCTGCATCTGGGGGGACACACGGACAGCAAGGGCATTCCTTTCAAGGGGATCTTGACTGGCCTTACCGCAGGTTAACACATACCGCCTCGCGTCTGATTCGGCGACCATCTGCACCCCTCGAAATCTCCATTGCTGCAGATTAGTCTTCTTCGTCTGATTTATTGTGTTGACATTTCCCCTGTCAGGTTAGACAAGAGGGGATCTCCAGCTGATCTGATCGGGCCCGTTCTATAAATCAGACCTCTCTGCTGTTTTGTTTTATTTATTTTTATTTTATTCTTCTGCTGCGTGCCACGTTCTCAGTCCAAATGATTCGCCTCTCCGGCCAGGAGTTCTACCTTCTTCTTTGAGTGGTTTCCTGTTTGTTTCTTCTATCTGAATTATCTATGTCCGATATCGAGACGCGTGCGCAGACAGCGAAAAGTGAGGAAAGGGAGAGAGAAGGTGTGCTGTTTGAGAGTGTGAGAAGGGGCAAGGGGGGTGTTCGTCCAAACGTCAGGAGAGAGCGGACCCCTCTTGAGAGTTCTACTGACACCCCTTCCTCCGGGATGGCGAACATCACATATGCCCAATGGCAGGCCATGCTGGATACAGCG